GGGGGGGGTTTGGGACGGGTCCCTTCATTCCTGCGGGAGGATCCCGAGCCCCCCCCTTGGTTGTTCCAGGGGGTTTTTGGGATGGTGACGGGACTGTCCCGCTTTCCCAGGGTTGTCCAGCGGGCGATGGATCCGTGGGAGGAGCCGGAGCCGGAGCAGACGGTGCTTTTCAGGGATAACGGGGAAGAGGAGGAGGAGGAGGAGGAGGAGGAGGAGGATCCCTACGACCCCCTCGGGATGCAGAGTAAGAGTCGGGGGGGTCTCCCAGACCTTGGGAAGGGGGGGGAGACCCCCAGGGACACCTGGGAATGGGGTCTCCATCCCCTTTGACATCCCATGGGATTGGGATCTCCATCTCCTTTAATATCCCATGGGAATGGGAGTTTTATCCCCCTTGATATCCCATGGGAATGGGACCTGAATCCCATGGGAATGGGGTCTCCATCCCCCTTGATATTCCACAGGAATGGGGTGTCCATTCCTATGTGATATCCCATGGGGTTAAGGTCTCCACCCCCTTGATATCCCTTGGGAATGGGGTTTCTGTTCCCTTTGATATCCCATGGGAATGGGGTCTCCATCCCACCTGATATCCTGTAGGAATTGAGTCTCCATCCCATGGGAATGGGCTCTGAATCCCATGGGATCGGCACCTCATCTCGTCCCATTCCCATGGGATTGACCCCCCCCCGTTCCCTCCCTCCCAGGAACCCCGAGCGACCCGGAGATTGACCCGGAGATTGTGGAGCTCGACGCCGCCCCCCTCCCCCCGTCCATCCCCGATCCCGACGAGGATTCCCGGGAAACCCTGCGCTGGACGGTGGTGCAGCAGATCGAGCCCGGCTCCCCCTCCGCCCCCGGCGCCAAATCCGGTGGCTGCTCCTCGTCCTCCTCCTCGGCCTTCCCCAACCTGCGCAGCATCATCGTCCTGCAGAAGAGCTACGAGTGCCGCGAGTGCGGGAAGAGCTTCAGCTGCAGCTCCCACTTCCACAAGCACCGGCGGACGCACACGGGGGAGCGCCCGTTCCGCTGCCGCCACTGCGGCAAGACCTTCAACGTCAGCTCCAACCTCTACCGGCACCAGCGCGCCCACGGCGCTGGCCCGGACACGACACCGACGGCGGCTCCGAGGGCACGCGGCCTCCCCTACGAGTGCCAGGAGTGCGGGAAGAGCTTCAACGTCAGCTCCAACCTCTCGCGGCACCGGCGCGCCCACGCCGCCGGCTCGGCGGTACCGACACCGACACCGAGGGCGCGCGGCCTCCCCTACGAGTGCCAGGAGTGCGGGAAGAGCTTCCGGCGCAACAAGGAGCTGGTGACGCACCAGCGGCTGCACACGGGGCGGCTGCCCTTCCAGTGCGGCCACTGCGGGAAGGGCTTCTCCTGGAGCTCCCACTGGGAGCGGCACCAGCGCGTGCACACCGGCGAGAAGCCCTACCAGTGCCCCGAGTGCGGCAAGAGCTTCAGCCGCAGCTCCCACCTCTACCGGCACCAGCGCGGCCACGCCGGCGGCCGCTCCTACATCTGCACCTACTGCGGGCGCAGCTTCGGCAGCACCCTGCACTTCGAGCGGCACCAGCGCACCCACACGGGGCAGCGGCCCTACAAGTGCACCCTGTGCCGCAAGAGCTTCGGCGACGCGCCCGCGCTGGTCAAGCACCAGCGCCTGCACCTGGACGGGCCCTTCCGCTGCGAGGAGTGCGGCAAAGCCTTCGGCGCCCGCGCCCAGTACGCGCGGCACCGGCGCAACCTCCACGGCGCCAGCGGCGGCACCGGTGCTGGGGGCGGCGGCGCGGGCGCGGCGGAGAAGCCGTACCGGTGCGGGGACTGCGGGAAGAGCTTCTCGTGGAGCTCCCACTGGGAGAGGCACCAGCGGATCCACACCGGGGAGAGGCCGTACCAGTGCGGGGACTGCGGGAAGCGCTTCGGTCGCACGTCCCACCTGTATCGGCACCAGCGGACCCACGCCGGCGGCCAGCCCCACGTGTGCGCCGAGTGCGGCAAGAGCTTCAACAGCACCCTCCACTTCCACAAGCACCAGCGCGCCCACGCCGGGCCCCGGCACGGCTGCGCCGACTGCGGGAAGGCCTTCGCCGACGGCTCGGCGCTGGCCAAGCACCGGCGGGTCCACGGGGGAGGAGGAGTGGGGGGGGTCGGGGCAGAGAAGCCCTTCCCGTGCCCGCGGTGCGGGAGGAGGTTCGGCGGCACCTCCCACCTGCGGCGGCACCTGCGCAGCCACGGCGAGGAGGAGGAGGCCGAGCCGGTGGGCTGAGCGGCACCGCCGGCGAGTTGGGCGGCGTTCCGGCGTTCCGGAGGGGCCGCCAGGTGAGCCCGGTTCATTGGGTTGGCCAACCTTGACGCTGACTTGGGTAGAGGCCCAATTCCGGTGTTCCGGAGGTGCCGCTGGATAAACTCAGCTCGTTGGGTTGGCCAACCTTGATGCTGACTTGGGTAGAGGCCCAATTCCCAATGGGAATCCCGGTGGGATCGGGCTGTTCCGGCAGTGCCGAGGGCGTAGTTTTCGTAGGGTAGAGTAGGAAGGGTGTAGAGTAGAGGGTGGAAGGAGGAGCCAAGTGGGAATTCGGGAGTTTTCCAAGGGGGTGTTTTCCCTCTGGATCAAAAAACAAAAGATGGAATCCTGCCAAGGGAAAACCCAACCAGGCTCCTGCTCTGGGTGGATTCCGGGAGAAACCACATCCGAGGTCGGAGCTCTTGGAGGTGCCACCAACTCGTTGCCAAGCTCGGAGAGACCCCAAAACGTGGGATGGAGTCGCCCCTGGATCGTCCCAGATTCCACATCCAGCCTCGGCCGACGACCACTTGGAGGGTGATGATGTCATCAAGGATTTGGGGCAAAAAACCCACCAGTTTGGGGGAAAAAAATCAATTTGAGCAAAAATCCCTTGATTTGGGATAAGAACCCCAATTTGGGGCAAAATCCCCTGATTTGGTGGGTTTCCATTGAGGAAGAAGCCGGATTGTCCCAACTCCATTGTCTCCCAAAAATTTGGGAAGTTTATTTATTGTATTTATTCAGCTGTTGGTTGGGAGAATCCCAAGGGTTGGGACAATCCCAAGGGTTGGGACAATTCCAAAGGTTGGGATGATTCCAAGGGTTGGAAGAATCCCAAGAATTGGGAGAATCCCAAGATTTGGGAGAATTCCAAGGGTTGGGACAATCCCAAAGGTTGGGATAAGGGCGGATTTGTCCCAGACTGGCGGCTCCTCCTGGATTGATCTGTGGGGCTGGAACGGTTCCTCCAGGAGCATCCAAAGGGAATTCCCAGCTGGAAAAATGGGAATCATTGGGATGAACCTCAGGAGTAGGAGCAGGATGTGAATCCGGGGGGGGTTTTCCCGGTGGATTTGGGGGTCGGATCCGTCTCTTCCCAAGGGAAGCAGGAGCTGTGTTTGTTTTGTGAATAAAAATAGATTTAGTGAGAAAAGCCGAAGCGTCCTCGGAGCTTTTCCTGGGAAACTGGAGGGGGGGGGGTCACCTGGGGGTTGGAGTGGGGGGGCCAAGAACGAGCCCCACATTCCTGGAAAACCTCGGGAAACTCCTCGGGGAATTTCTTGGGCAATTCCTTGGGCATCTCTTGGGAATTCCTTGGCTTCCCCTTCCCTCAGAGGGTCCCTGGGGAGCTGAGGCACTGGGGGGAGGAGGAGGGAACGGGATGAGAGACACCCCCCCAAAATCCCTCCCTCCCTCCCTCGGGATTCTCCAGGGTCCAAGAGAGGGAGGGAGAGAGGGAGAGGGGGGAGGAGGAGGAGGAGGAGGAGAAGGAGGCGGAGGAGGGAGGAGAGGGAGGAGGAAGAAGCGGAGGAGGAGGGAGAACGGGAGGGAGGAGGAGAAAAAGGAGGGGGAGAGGGAGGAGAAGAAGGAGGAGGGAGGGGAAGGAGAAAGGGGGAGGAGGAGGAGGAGGAGGAGAAGGAGGAGGGGGAGAGGGAGGGGAGGGAGAAGGGGGGAGGAGGAGGAGGAGGGGGAGAGGGAGGGGGGAGGAAGAGGAGGCCGAGGAGGCGGCGGCGGTTTCTCTGTATCCGGGTCACGCCGGGAGCCGCCTCCAGCGGGACCGGGAGCGGGAGCGGGGTCAGGATCGGGATCAGGATCGGGATCGGGATCCAGCGCGGGGAGACCCCCGAGACGGGGGGGGGACCCCGCGCTGTGCCCACCCCCCCTGCAGGTAACGGGGGACCCCCTGAATCCCACTCAAATCCCACCCAAATCCCACCCCCCAATTCCCCGAAAATTCCCTCAAATCCCTCCCGGATTCCCCCAAAGTCTCCCCAAATCTCCCCCCCAGATTTTCCCCAGATTTTCCCCAAATCTCCCCCAAATTCTTCCCAACCCCCCCAAATCTCCCCCAAATTCTTCCCAAATCTCCCCCAAATTCTTCCCAAATCTCTCCCAAATCTCCCCAAAGCCCCCCCCCGAATCCCCTCCAAAAATTTGGGGAGCAAAGGGAGGGGCGATTCCCCCCCCACCGACCCCTCCCTGGACCAAAGGGGTTTTTTTGGGAGCCTAACGGGGATTTTTGGGGGGGTCTCTTTGCAGGGGCAGTTGTGGAGTGACCCCACCCCCCCAAAATTTGGGGTCACGATGCAGGAGAACTATGAGAACGTGATTTCCTTGGGTAAGGGGGGGCACCCCAAAATTTGGGAGGGGAGGGTGTTGATTTTGGGGGGTCCCCAGGGCATGGTTTCAGGGTGGGGGGGTCATTTTGGGGTCCAAAAATGGGGCAAAATGTGGCCAAAAAAAGGGGTGAATTTGGCAAAAAAAAATGGGATGAAGTTTATCCAAAAATGGGGCAAAAATCGGTCAAAACGGGGCAAATTTGTCCCAAAATGGGGGCAGAAATCAGCCCCAAATGTGACAGGTTTGGCCCAAAAATGGGACGAAATTTGGGCAAAAATGGGGCAAAAATTGGCCAAAAATGGGGCAAAAATTGGCCAAAAATGGGGTGCAGTTTGATAAAAAATGGCCAAAATTTGATGAGAAATAAGGCAAGATTTGGTAAAAAAAAATTACCCAAATTTGGCAAAAAATGGGGGGAAATTTGGCCCTAAGTGGGATGAATGGGGCCCAAAAAAATGCCTAAAATTTGGCAAAAAATCAGTCCCCGAAAAACGGGTGAAACTCGGCCCAAAGTGGGGGGGTTTAGTCCTAAAATATCTGGTGGGAGGGAAGTTGGGAATGTTGAGCTCCCGCTTTTCCGGCAGCCGAGGAAATCGCCATCAGCTGGCCCCGGATCACAGCCTTCGCCGAGTCCCACCGGAGACGGGGGCTGGTGTCGGGTGAGTCGGGGGGGAAACGGGGGCAATTCCGGCGGTTTTGGGAAAAAAACCCAACAAAAGCCAATAAAACCCCCAAAACCGCCAATATTGGGGGTTTTTTCCATTGATTGTTTTTTTTTTTCCCCGTTAATTAAACCCCCCCAAAACTGGGGGAGCTCTGGAGGTTTGAGGGGAACACCTCGATAAGCCCCCCCAGGAATTGGTTTGGATTCCGTGAGTTTTTTGGGATGTTCAGGATCTGGGGGGGAATTTAATTTAATTTAATTCCTTCGGGTTTTTGGGAGGGGAAAACCCACCCCAAATTTAGTTGAGTTCCGTAAGATTTTCAGGAATCCTCCCCAGCCTTGACCAAACCCCTCGGGATTTTTGGGAATTCCCCCTCCCAAACCTGACTGAATCCCTTGAGATTTTTGGGAAACTCACCAGATTAGACCAAATCCTTTGGGATTTTGGGGAATCCCACCGGAATTGGAGCCGATCCCTGAGGTTTTGGGGCCTTTTCCAGGCGTGGAGGCCGAGGGGGAGCAGGGCCAGCCCGAGCCCACCCAGGTGGCCCCCCCGGGGGTCTCCGGCGATGGGGGGGTGAATCCCGACCTCCGGAGGCAGCTGGGGCTCATCCTCCAAACGGCTGGAAGGACCCAGGTGGAGAAGATGCTCCGGGAGCTTGTCAGGGAACAGGGACAGGGCGGGAAGCGCCGGAACCGGAAGAAGGCGCCTAAAGAAGGAGGTAAAATTTGGGAAGGAGCTTCCCAGGGAACCCCCCTGAGGGGCTCCTGGAGACCTTCAAGGGGGGGGGTTTGGGAGCATCCCGTGGGAAAAGGGGGAGGCTTTGGGGGTTCCTGGTGGGATTTTGGGATGGGTTGGGTGGAAAAAGGTCAACCAGACCATGGCCAAAGTCAAGGTCAACCAGTCCATGGTGTCGTGGAAGAGTTTGGGGTGGAAAAGGGGGTTTGGGGGTCACCTGGACCTTGGCCAAGGTCAACGTCAACCCAATCCAGGGGGTCATGGAAGAGTTTGGGGTGGAAAAGGGACCTTGAGGGTCAACTGGACCTTGGCCAAGGTCAACACCATCAATGACCCTCAAGGTCCCCCAAAACCCCAAGACAACTCGGGGTGGACTCCAACTTCACTCAGGGGGAGTTTCACGGGGAAGTAACTCCCGGTTTCCCACCACGGCCCAGGTGCCGGCGCCGGCAGTGGCGCTGAGGACGATCCGGCGCCGCGGGACAACGAGGAGCCGCCGCTGGAAGACGCCGCTCAACGCCAGGATGAGGAACCCGCCGCCGACCCCCCCGGCACCGGCAAAGCCCCGGGAGGTCGGAAGGTGCCCCAGGGCGGTTGCGCCAAGTGCGGGAGCCCGGCCAAGCCCCGGCGCTGCTCCGAGTGCCACCGGCGCTGCCGGCAGCCCGAGAAGCCCCACCGGTGCGGGGACTGCGGGAAGGGCTTCAGTCGTGGCTCCAACCTGGCCCAGCACCGGCGCATCCACACGGGGGAGCGGCCGCACCGCTGCGGCGACTGCGGCAAGGGCTTCATCCAGCGCTCCGACCTGGAGCGGCACCGGCGCGTCCACACCGGGGAGCGGCCGTACCCCTGCGGGGACTGCGGGAAGCGCTTCAGCGTCAGTTCCCACCTGGACCGGCACCGCCGGACTCACGCTGGGGGCCCCGGGCCGCCCTCCCAGCCCCGCCCGCGGCCACGCCCGGCGCCGCCCGAAGCGCCGGCAGCGGCTCCTCCTCATCGCTGCGGGGAGTGCGGGAAGAGCTTCGCCCAGCGCTCGGCCCTGGCCAAGCACCGCAAGACGCACAGCGGGGAGAGGCCCCACCGGTGCGGGGACTGCGGCAAGAGCTTCAGCCGCGGCTCCAACCTCACCCAGCACCGGCGCATCCACACCGGCGAACGGCCCTTCGCCTGCGGCGACTGCGGCAAAGGCTTCATCCAGCGCTCCGACCTGGAGCGGCACCAGCGCGTCCACACCGGCGAGCGACCCTACACGTGCGGGGAGTGCGGCAAGAGCTTCAGCGTCAGCTCCCACCTGGACCGGCACCAGAAGATCCACGCGGCGCAGAGGGCGTCCTGCCGCTGCCCCGAGCACCTCACGGGCTTCCTGGCCGCCCACCGGCACGGTCGCCTCTTCCAGTGCGCCCAGTGCAGGCGCTGCTTCAGCCAGGGTGCCGCCCTGCTCAAGCACCAGCGCGCCCACGGCGCCCACGGCGCCCACGGCGCGGTGGCGCAGCCCCAGAAGTGCCCGGACTGCGGGAAGAGCCGCGGCTGCCGAGGGCAGCGATGCCCGGACTGCGGGGGGGAGGAGGCGGGTCCTGGTGTGGCACCGGCGGAGGTGCCGGAGAAGCCCTACAAGTGTGGGGAGTGCGGGAAGGGCTTCGGGCAGCGCTCGGCGCTGGTGAAGCACCGGCGCATCCACACCGGCGAGAAGCCCTACCAGTGCGGGGAGTGCGGCAAGGGCTTCATCCAGAAGTCCGACCTCACCATCCACCGGCGGATGCACACCGGGGAGAAGCCCTACAAGTGTGGGGAGTGCGGGAAGTGCTTCAGCGTCTCCTCCAACCTCATCACCCACCAGCGCACCCACCTGGGCGAGAAGCCCTACCAGTGCTCCGAGTGCGGCAAGAGCTTCATCCAGCGCTCCGAGCTCACCATCCACCAGCGCGTGCACACCGGCGAGAAGCCCTACAAGTGCTCGGAGTGCGGGAAGTGCTTCAGCCGCAGCTCCCACCTCAACCGGCACCAGCGAACCCACGGCGGGGACAAGCCCAAGGCGGTGGCAGCCACCGGTGGCACCGCCGTGGCCTCCGAGATGCCGCCGCCGGCGCCGGGCTCCGGGGCCTTCCCCGGCGCCGCCTTCCCGGCCCCGGTGGCCTCGCTGGGGTCGTTCCCGGCGTCGCCCTCGGCGCTGCCTGTGCCGGCGCTCTCCGGCCCGGCCCTGGAGCTGCCCTGGGCGCTCTCGTTCCCCGGCCGCGCCTTCGCCCACCCGTCGTTCGCCCCGGCCCCGCCCGCGGGCGCCCAGACCCCCTCACTCATCAACTGAGGCTCCGCCCACCCACCCAGTGCTCCCAGTGCTCCCAGTTACCTCCCGGTGCTCCCAGTGCCCAACTGGGATGGGTTGGATGCACAGACCCAACCTTGGGTCTCGTTGACCCATCATTGGAGCTTCTTCCAACCTGGAGCCCTTCGACCTTCCGGGCTAATTAATGACGTCATTAATTGGGGATGGGGATCTCCCCCTCATTCCGTGGCTCCACCCACCTCCCCAGTGCTCCCAGTGCCCAACTGGGATCGACCCATGGCTGGTGGCTCCTCCCCCCCTCAAATTTCAGGACAAATTTAATTAAGTCCCCGTTAATTAAGACAATTTTTAACGATCTTTCCAAGCCCCTCCCACTGTCTGAAAGCCCCACCCAAAATTCCCCAAATTCTGCCGAGGTTGGAGTGTTAAAAACGAGGCCAAAAAGGTAAAAACTGAGGCAAAAAGGGGTTTTTTTGGTTTTGGGGCTTTTTTGGGGAAATTATTTCAGGGGTGGGTGGGAACAAGGAGCAAAAATTCCCTTTTTATTCCTTTTTTTACTGTCTGTGTCTTCTTGGTGGTTTTTGGCACAACCAGGGGGCAAACCAATTGGCACAACCGAATTTGGGCAAAGACGTGCCAAATTTGGGCAAAACACCTGAAATTTTGGAGGGGGGAAAAAAAAAACAAATTCAGGCAAAACCCCACCAAATTTGGGCAAAAAAAAATCCCCAAATTTGGGCAAAACCCTCTCCAATTTTTGGCCAAAAAATCCCCAAATTTGGGTAAAGAATAAAAAACATCCAAATTTGGGCAAAGCCCCCCAAATTTGGGTCATTAGTGCCACCAAATGTGTGTTTTGGAGGAAAGGTTTTTCTTACCCTTGAGATTCTCCCGGTTCTCCCAAACCCTCATCCCAAAACCGGGAGGAAAATCGAGCATTTTCAGCCTTTTTTTAAGAAAAATATTGAATTTTTTGGGTTTTTTGTTACTTTTGTGACTTTGTATTTTCCACGTCGGGTCAATAAAAATCCGACTCGGGATGAAAAATGGCCAAAAATGGGTTTGTTTGTCATTTATCTGCCATAAAAAAATACCCCAAAAATTAAGGGATTAAAAAGGCCAAAAATGGGTTTATTTATAATTTTCCCCCAATAATTAAGGGATTAAAAAAAAAAAACCACCAAAATGGGATTTCTTTATAATTTCTCCCCGAAAATTAATGGCTGAAAATTCCCCCCCTTTCCCCAACCTGAAAACTGGGGCAAAAAATGGTCATTTTTGATATTTTTTGGGAAGGGGGGAAATTCAATAAAGATGCGACATGTGAAATTATTATTAAATTATTATTAAATTGATAAATTATTATAAATACCCCCCAAATCCACAATAAGTAACCCCAAGGCAATACACAATTAAATAGAATAAATAAATAATAATTAATAAATAATTAATAAATAATCAATAAATAAATAATAAATAAATCCCGGAGGGGGCGGGGCTTAAGCCGAGGTAGGGGCACCCATTGGGCACCAAAATCAGTCCCCCCCTTCTTCCCAAGGCAACGATGGGCTCGTTAATTATGCAAATGAGGTAGAGGTGACCTCCTTAATTAGGCAAATGAGGCGGCTCTGCCCAATTCCCGCCCTCCCCAGTGCTCCCAGTGCCCAACTGGGACCAACCGGCATCAAAGACCCGTTGTTGGGGCATCTTCCAACCCGGAGCTCTTCGACCTTAACGGCTAATTAACGGCCTCGTTAATTAGGGGATGGGGAACTCCCCCTCATCCCGTGGCTCTGCCCACCTCCCCAGTGCTCCCAGTGCCCGACTGGGGCGGGTCGACCCCAAAACCCGTCCTTGGGTCTCGTTGACTCATCGTTGGGGCGTCTCCCAACCCAGAGCCCTTCGACCTTCCCGGGCTAATTAACGACCCCGTTAATTCCCGTCGGTCCACAGGGACGTCCCGTCAGGGATTGTGGGTCCCTCGAGTGTCCCCAGAGGTGTCACCACAGGTGTCCCCACAGGTGTCCCCACCCATTGGGTGTCCCGGTTGTCCCGTTGGTCCAGAGGGACGTCCCAGCAGGAACTGTGGGTCCCTCGGGTGTCCCAGGTGTCCCCAGAGGTGTCTCGGGTGTCCCCAGATGTGTCCCAGGTGCCACCTCAGGTGTCCCCACCACTGTCCCGTTGGGTGTCCAGGTTGTCCCAGTGGCTCCAGCCCCAGGTAGGGACGTCCCAGCAGGAATTGTGGGTCCCTCAGGTGTTCCAGGTGTCCCCAAAGGTGTCCCGGGTGTCCCCAGAGGTGTCTCAGGTGTCACAAAAGGTGCCTCAGGTGTCCCCAGAGGTGTCCCCGGTGTCCCCTCGGGGGTGAGGTCCCCCGGCGCGCTGTACACTTGGGCTCCCACCACGGCCAAGAGCAGCACCAGGAGCCTCTTGGCCGCGCTCGGTTCCTCTCCCGGGGGGCTCCTTCGCACCTGGGGGGCGACAGAACGGGGTCAAAAGGGGTCTTTTTGGGAAAAAACACACACACCCTCCCGGGGGCAAAGAATCGCCCCCGAGGGCAAACCCTGCAGAGCTTCCTGGGGGTGAGGGGGGGTTTAACCCCCCCCAGGGCAAATAAATCCCCCCCTGGGGCAAATAAATCACTTTCAGGGTAAATAAATCACTTTCAGGGTAAATAAATCACTTTTTGGGGCCAAAAAAGCCATTTTTGGGGTAAATAATTGCCCCCCCTCTCGGGTCAGGGAACCCATCCAAGGGCAAACCCTGCCTGACCCTGCTGAGCTTCCGGAGGGTGACGGGGGGATTTAACCCCCCCCGGAGCAAATAAATCCCCCC